TCGATCATTTCTTCTTCCTTTTGGCTTGGAAGCATTTCTCCTAGAGTGCTATGGTGCAAAGCTTGTTACTGAAAATGAAAACTGTTGATGCATGCTGACTGACACATTTTGGAGGAGTCATAATAAGTTTGCAATGTCTTCAGCATTTCTTTATTTTTTATAAGGATGTTGAAGAAGATAAAGGCCTTTTTAATGATATTTTCATGACTTATTCCTTCCACATTTCTCTTCAAGACAACTGCAAAATCCTGATCTAGCCCTTGTCTTTTCTATTTTAATACTAGCTCATTTTTGAGTCATAACCACCTGTGAGTGCATTCAGCTATTTCTTCTACCATTTTGCTTAGTTTTTGGATCTTTCAAAGGTCAAAGCTCCTCCATACCTGGACTGGCTGGAGACAAAGTATAATAACTAGTAAAGTCATGCTAGGACGGGATAACAGCCCTACAGACAGACCAGCTGCTGAAGTAATAGAGGAATCCTGATTCATCTGTTTTCATTTTAGTAATGCTAGTAAAAAGATAGTTTAACCTTCCACTGTGCACGTCTCTGAGGGGTTGGGATGATGGCCTGGAATGTGAAAAAGCCTAGTTCACATGAGTCTTCTGTCTGATTTTGAAGAAAATTTCTGCTCTAAATTATGCAGGGTTGGGCTTTGTACAACAATCTCTCTTTCTGCTTGATTCTGAGATGAGATATTCTTTCTAGATTGTGTAAAATCTCTTGAACCTGAACCTTGCACATCCCTAGTTGACAACCAGCACTACCATGATAAGATGTGTCACTTCCAAAAAACCTTTCTGGTGAACATTTTGAAAAAACTTCTATACATAATGACTGATGAAAATTTGTTTTTTCAGTGGTTTTATTTGTCATCTGTCTTACCAATATATTTAACAACAGGAGTGGTCTGCTGCTTGAGCTAATTGTTTTCAAATATTACAGTTCTACCCTGATATCAGAGGGAAGAATTGTAAATGAAGGTGTTTATGATGCAAGGACACCATCCTGGATGACTGATAGGCAGTGGCCAAACTGGTAGAAAATTTTCAGCTTATGAAGAAAGCAGACAAACCTAGTTCAGGGGAAAAAAAAATGGAACTTTGAGAAGCAAAGATCAGAAAACAGATTGGGAGAAACTGAAGACTGAATGGCAGGATTAAATAGGGTCTTCTCTTGGCTTTCAAGTAAAAATAAAATTAAAAAAAAAAAACCAACAACAAAAAAAACCCCAAAAACAAAAAAAAACCCACCTCAAGATTAGAAACATAGTTTGCTCAATATCCAGTAAATTTGATTTATTAAGTTAATAAGGAAGATGCCTCAGTGTACTCTCTGTGGTCTTACTGATCAACAAAGAAATAGTCACGACACATCATGTTAGTTCTCATTCTAATGACTAGGACTTTTTCCTGTAAGCAGACTCTCATAACAACATGGATAAACTGCCACTCCTCATTTTTCCGCAGTTCTAGTGATGGACAATTGTATATGAATGTGAGTAACCACTCACATGCTGAAATTGATCTGCATATGCATTGCAGTCTCATATTTCAGTCTTTGTAAAGTCATTCTCTGTTTAAACTTTTCTAAAATAATCAGGATTGTAGTACTTGTTAACCTCAGAGTATAATGGGAGGATAAATGAAAATGTGTGATAAGATAGTATATTATGGTTTGAGTAAATGATTTACAGTATATAATTTGCTATTTTAAAAATATTTTCTTAAAATAAAATAACCAATTGCATTCTGCTCAGACATTTCACATTTGAGAGAGTTGTTCTTGGTGCAACATAGGCAAAATTCTGGCAGTTCAGTCAACCATGACCATAGTTTTTAAAAGACAAAGGAAATATGCTATAGTTTATCACTGTTCATTAAAATCCGCAGCAGTTATTCCTTTAAAAATCATTATTGTTCTAAATAGTGTCCTATTTTCAAACTAGAAACTTAAGCTAATAAAAGTCCTATGGGTCACAGACAGCAGTCATCTTGGTTTCATAGAAAACATTGCTTCACTATTTCCATTACTCCAGATTTGCTGCCTCAAGGTCCATCTTTTGCTCTCATTATAGAAAACTGGTCGGGCACTATTTTGCCTCAAGGTAATTTGCATTATTTCAGTGAATTGATGGTCTGATGGTTCAGTTAAAAAGTTAGTTTGCCTTCCTGGGAAATAACTTAAGCTGTAAAAAAGTCACATTCCTCTCTGGGTTTCAAAGTGAAATTTTTTGGTATTAACTATTCCAGTGATCCCTTGCTAGGCAATCACCACTTGATTACTTTTAAACCAAGTACCCTGATTTAATGATATGCAGTTTGGATGGAGTTTTTCCTATTATGCATGCATTGCAGGGTTTTGTCACACAATCAGCCACAGCTCCTCTTCTAGCAGTGGCAGTAATGGCAGGTGCAGCTCTGAAGGCTGGCGAAAGAGAAAGGAGGCACTCTGCAGAGTTCTTGAAAGCATTTTCTCTCCTTTGGGTTGCTCATGCCTGCAGGATGTGCAGAACGAATTATAGGTCAGGTCTTTTATAAGAGAGGAGAGTTTCTTTGTACAAATTATTTTGCATGTATAGTGAAATTCAGTACCATGGCTACTTTCTTTAAGCTTCAGAAAAGTGCTTTTAGATAGATAGAGAATAATTGCTTCTGGAAGGAATAATTTAGACTATAATTAATAATAATAATAATAATAATAATAATAATAATGATAATGAAGTTTGGAGCAGTGCAACATGGAAAGTAGACATAGCACGCACATGCTGGCTCTTCTGTATGCAAAGAATCAGGAATATCAACGGAAGTTGACTTGGCTGAGGATAGAAGAACTGAAGTGGTAATTTAGTAGAAAACTGTAATTTACTGTAGTTGTTTAAAAAAAATGCATTTGCATTCAGTATATGTACAGAAACATGCTTGCCTTTGACAGCAGTCACAACATTGGTGCTTTCAGTTGCGGGCCTGCATTTCAGCAGTGGCAGTTTTCTCCTCCCACGAAGCATTGTCATCAGCATTCATTGGCTCTGAGCTGCATGGAGAAGGGGCAAATTCTCCTCTTCTACTTTGCATCAGTAATTCCACTGAACGAAATTGTTCTTCCAGTCTCTTGGTATATTATCTGTCAGTGTGTTCCCGTAAGTTAGAGTACAGCACAGAGGGTACAGTATATAAATCCATATGCACAGCTGCTCCCTGTAGAACTGTGTCTGCCTTCTTCATTGTGAGAATATTTTTATGGGACTCAGACAAGAAAATAGGTTAGTGGCTAAATGAATGCAGCCACTCACTATCCTAGTTCTGTCCCGTAATGCCAAATACACAAGACTTCTGAAATGACTGTCCAATTTCTTGGGGTCACATGCTTTTTACTAGCACTGTACTGGTGAAAATGTACATGTTCATCAAACACAGACATGAAGGAAGCATCCATAGGCTTATCAACCTCTTCTAAATATATCTATCTCCAACTGATACACTTAACTCAGAAACTTTTCCTTTTCAGTCATTGTTCTATGTTTCTCTCCCCAGATCCCACCCTCAGATTTATATTTACCTTTGACTTTGTAGCTTATGTTAATTTACTCATTTTACAGCAGCCTTCAGAGATTCTTTGGGTGGAAGTTATTCTTACTGAATTAATTTCTTTTCTATGTAATATTTAGCTATACTCAAAGTATTCATTGTATTAAATGAGTTTGTGCATATGCTCTCTGTTACTAGAAGTTTAAGCTTTATCTCAGCTAATGAATCCATTATGCCTCTACTTGGGTGAGTTGTATGTACATTCCTTGGGAAATTAATCTCTCTGTGCTACCAATTTCTTCAGTCTTCTGTTGGTTTGCTGTAACAGGACTTACCTACCTACTGCAAATTATGCCTTCTGCAAATATCGTATTTTAGAAAGTCAAGATTCGTGACAAAAAGCGGTACGATTTATTAGGTCAAGTCTGACATAGTCAGAAAAAAACCCATAAAAGTTCTCAGGCACATAAACTCTTCTTCACATCTCAAATGGAAGTAACGTACTTCAAGCAAAGTACAGAAATTGGTCTCGCTTCAGTTTCATTACTCTTAATCACTGTGACTGTCTGAGAGAAAAGGATAGTTAACATCTATGAATCTGTGGGAACTGTTAGTAAGGAGAGAGGTGATAAGGTCAGTAGCCTCTAATGAGTAGAGAGAGGGGGACAGATTATTATCCCCTGTGGAGTCGCGAGGGTTAGCAGAAGAGATATTGTGAAAAAAATCATATAATGTGAGAGAAACTAGCCTTCTTACAGAGCTCTTGATTTTACGATTTTTACTATCCAGCAGAATAATAAACTTTATATCCAAACTGACCTTCTGAAGGTTTACAGATACAAGTGACCATAACTGCTTTGAAATGGAGGAATGATGACAAAAAGAGACTCTTGATATTTAAAGATGAGTGCTTTAAAAATATGCAGTCTGACCTCTCTCAACAACGTTGAAGCTCTAGTGTCTATAAATGACTTCTTATGTAAAGACATACTCATGTGCACACTACACTTGCCATAAAGACCCCTACTGCCTCATTCATGTCTCAAAAGAAGGTAACAGAATTCACTCAAAACTAAAATTAGGACAAGCAAGATATAGCCTGCAGAAAGAGGGTTGGTTACGGATCTGGTGAATGATAGTAGCTTCATGTTTGTGGCCATGGAGCAATTCAGAAATATCGTCTGGAAATTCAAGATGCCTTTCAAAAATGTATTCATCCAGAATGATTACTGAGAGCCTCTGCCTGTCCAAATATATCAACATTTCCACAGAGACCTAAAAGTAAAGGAAATTAGAATGGAAACATTTATTTAAATTCTATTTCATGTGAGCATTACTGCACAGATGCTCTCAAAACACTAAGGAATATTTCATATGCAGTGGTTTTATGAAGCTTAAAATATTGGCAGGTCAGTGAACCACTGCCTGTATCTCACCACAATGTCAATTTATTTTCTCTGCTATTATTGCAGGTGATTATGTAGTCATGACTATATACTTCGACTTAAGTAGAAGAATGGGATACTTTACTATTCAAACATACATTCCCTGTATATTAACAGTTGTTCTTTCCTGGGTATCCTTTTGGATTAAAAAAGATGCCACACCAGCAAGAACAGCATTAGGTAAGTTGTCAATAATTCCCTTTTCTGCTCTGTGTAGCTTGATTTCAGAGACCACTAGCTATATGCTTTGGATTATTGCTACATCTTGCAGACCCAGATCTACTTATCACTGAAGCCTCTGTTTTTCTGCCTTTAACAGGTTAATTAAAAGTACACTACCCTGACCCTTTGGAATGACACTGCTACCTGTTTTGCATAATATTCTAGAATTAATGTCTGTCTCCTTTTTCTCACTATGATATTTCAGTGACATTTTTGAAGAATAAATTAATTGCACTTATGTCTTTCTTCACTTCTGAAACTCTCCCCCATGGGGCATTATGTCATATATGCAGAAAACTGTGGGATATAATAATATTGATGCATGCAAAGTGTTTTAGCTTGTGTGCTTGAAGTTAAGCTTCACACTACATTGTATACATATTTTTCATAGATTACAGAGATTTATGCTTCAGTTCATTTATGTCAGGACCAGTGTGTGCATTTTGACACTGTCCTTTAGGATATGGTTAGAAATGTTGACCATTTCTTCTTATGTCTATAGGAAAACCTGCAAGTTTTGCCAGCATCAAGATCATAGGGCTATATAATAGTGAATTATGGGTGTATGTCAGAACTGAAGGAAAACCAACATTTTACTCAGATTGTGGTTGCTGGGGCTTCCAATACTAACCAGTTCAGAAATCTACCACTATAGGAAAAAGGGGAGGCTATGTCAAGGTTTACATGTCTATTTTCAAATGTAGAGGTTACCATTCCCACCTATTCATTGCTTCCTCCTGCTGGAGTTTATCATCTCCAGTCTCTAAATTATTTCAGTTCTAAAGAGCAAATTATTAAAAAGTGACCTGTCTAACTTTTTGGACTGAAATCAGACATGAAGAATTTTTAGGAGCAGCTGAGTCCCTAGGTTTGACAGGGCAATACTGCTACAAGGAAAAAATGAAGGACAAGGTCTGTGCAAGGGCTGCACCTCCTTGGAGGACATGTGAAGGCAGCCCACAGAAGGCATGGTGATCTTTAGTGCTGTTGTGTGCAACCACAGTAGAGGAGAATCCATTTGTACAAACCACCTCTGTTTACCATTCCCCTAAACAGATGATCAAGAGTCATCAGTATTCATCTTTTTTCATCCAAGTAACTAAGCGTTTACCAGAAATGGAGTTTACTTATATGTGAATCCATTTCTGTTAGCTGTCTTTCAAACACTATGTACAGGTGCTTTACTTGCTCTCAGGAGGAAGACACCTTGTATGACTACACAGCCTTTATACAGTTGTTCAGAATGACTTCTGTTTCAGTCTGCTCTATCCTGCACTAATAAATCTGAGCGATCACCAGTATTTAGGGTGCTATGGTTTCTAGCATAAACCCCTCAAAGGCCCTGAAGGGGAAAAGAAGTGCTAATGAGAATTTAAATCCATTCACCCTGAATGAGATTTTAGCTGCTAAGTCTCTTGAACTTGTCCAGAAGTCTGATCCCACTGTCTAAGTCCTTCACTGATGCAAAAAAAATGCAGTGATCTATTCAAGGTGCGCTAAGCCCGGAGTTACAAACATTCCTCCTCCCAAAACTTATAATGCTTCAACAGCTTAGCAACTTTCAGCTGAGTAATAGAAGAAATATGTTACCAAAAATATCCTGTAAGTGTAATTGCCTTAATGGCCACAGCTTGCATTAAGCAATGAAACTACATGCCAAATATTTCTGCTATCAGTCCTTAGGCATTTTCCTAGGGGGAGGTTCACAGAATCACAGAATCATCAAGCTTGGAAAACACCTTGAAGATCATCCAGTCCAACCATTAACCCAACATTGACAGTTCCCAACTACACCATATCCATCAGCGCTATGTCAAACGGACTCTTAAACACCTCCAGGGATGGGGACTCCACCACCTCCCTGGGCAGCCCATTCCAACATCTAACAACCTGTTCTGGAAAGAAATGCTTCCTAATATCCAGTCTAAACCTTCCATGGTGCAACTTAAGGCCATTTTACCTCTTGTGCTATGACTTGTCACTTGGTTAAAGAGACTCATCCCGAGCACTCTGCAACCTCCTTTCAGGGAGCTGTAGAGGGCGATGAGGTCTCCCCTCAGCCTCCTCTTCTCCAGACTAAACACCCCCAGTTCCCTCAGTCGCTCCTCGTATGACCTGTGCTCCAGACCCTGCACCAGCTTCGTTGCCCTTCTCTGGACACGCTCGAGTCATTCAATGTCCTTTTTGTAGCGAGGGGCCCAAAACTGAACACAGGAATCGAGGTGCGGCCTCACCAGTGCCGAGTACAGGGGTCAGATCCCTTCCCTGTCCCTGCTGGCCACGCTATTGCTGACACAAGCCAGGATGCCATTGGCCTTCTTGGCCCCCTGGGCACACTGCTGGCTCCTGTTCAGCTGGCTGTCAATCAACCCCCCCAGGTCCCTCTCTGACTGGCAGCTCTCCAGCCACTCCTCCCCAAGCCTGTAGCGCTGCTGGGGGTTGTTGTGGCCCAAGGGCAGCCCCCGGCATTTGGCCTTATGGAAACTCCTCCAGTTGGCCTCAGCCCATGGCTCCAGCCTGTCCAGGTCTCTCTGCAGAGCCTCCCTACCCTCGAGCACATCAACACTCCCACCCAACTGGGTGTCATCTGCAAACTGACTGAGGGTGCACTCGATCCCCTCGTCTAGATCATCAATAAAGATGTTAAACAGGAGTGGCCCCAAAACAGAGCTCTGGGGGACACCACTCGTGACCGGCCACCAACTGGATTTAACTCCGTTCACCACAACTCTTTGGGCTCGGCCATCCAGACAGTTTTTTACCTAGTGAATTGTGTGCCCATCCAAGCTGTGAGCAGCCAGTTTGGTAAACCAGATGGAGCTGCCACACAAACATGCAGCGGTCCAGGCCTCAGGCTGCAGGGAGTGCTTGAGCCTGTTAAACCTGTCATAGGGCAGCAGATGTACCAGCTGTAATTCTTATGGAATGACAAGGACATCCTTCCAAACCAAGAGGACCTCAGTGACATGGAGCTTTGGAATAGGATTAGTAGAAAGAAAAGTCTCAGAGAGCCTGTTATAAGAGAATTGCAAGCATCCAAAACTGGTTCACACTTTACAGATAATTCTGTATTAAACCCCATTCTGTGTGAGGTCAGCACAAGACCATAACCTGCTGGATTTTCTTCAAGAATCTGTAAAATTAACAAGCATGGAACTTTAGACTATTGTAAGTCATGTGGCATCATGTGGGTCCAATTTTCTGAGGTTATTTTCTGAGAAAGGAATATTCAGTCTTCACTTCCTTTGTGTGAGTGTCAAAGTGCTGTTACACTGGCTCTAACAACATGGTGGTTTTCTAAGACTTAGTGTTATGTTGTGACCCCCTCTACTTCCAGGACAGCACAAAGACTATACAAAGGTGAGGAGAGAGCATCTGTACAGCTCTCTCTTCCTGGCTGTATAGACTTGCCTCTGATGGACAGAAAACTGAGCAATAGGCCTTTTCACGTACTTTCTTCCTAACTGGTGACTCAGTGTAGATAAGGAAAGATTGACCATGCTCCATCTTTTTAAATAGGAGTCTGATGCTCTGTGTATGTGCAAAGTCACACAGCATCTCTTTGTGTTATCCTCCTTAATGCATAACTGAAAAGGTAGAAAAGGCATCTAAGTTTGCATTACTGATTTTCCATAAGCCGGGTTCATACCCTGTCCCTGAGACAGTTCCCCACACCACACAGTTTTTTTCCAATTAATTAGACATGGAAGTAGGTTAGATCACTAGTCACAACAGTGTGACTCTCCCTGCCTCATCCCCTCAGCCAGCAGGAACTTCAGACAAGAAATAATGAATTTGAAGAACATGAAAATGAGATGTTCCAAAGCTATATTCAATGGCTATCATGACTAACTCCTAAAACTCTGACGAAGAGTTAAATTACCGGGCTAAAGTATAACTTTTTTATAAACAAAGTAAAATTACAAGAAAATAATATACATGGGTCACCTCTTTTTGTGCAGAGTCATGTTCCTCCCAAATTGGCAATGGCCTTTAAACTCTTGGGATGCAATAAGAAGATATTCCAAGTTTACCATAGGTCTGCTTGTACAAAGCAGCTTATAAATCTGTCTGAGCAACCACATGCATCCACATTTGGGTAGTGGCCAAAGGCAAATCACTGATATTTTTCTGCTAATTAGTTGAAATGAATTTTAGACTCTGTGCACCAAACCTGCTCCCAGTATAGCTGCATTAATGTAAAGGGCTAGCATCAGTGAAATATTTCTCTCTCTGAAATTAATGAGTAATATCCTAAGCTATTGGCAACTACTCACAGTTACATGAATGACAAGTTTTACCCCCTTCTGAATAATACTAAGTAATAAGCTATTTCTGTGATGGAAAAAGTAAATGTATCAAGGTATTTGGCTGTGAGGGAAAAAATGGGACCATAAGTATCCTTTCATCAGCACTGTCCAGAGGCATCAAAGTGCTCTTTAAAACTTGGCGTCACAGTCCCCTTTTCACATGCAATTTGAGGGGCTGAGGTCCAGAGTGTCAACAGGACTCACTCCAGGCCATCTGAAGAGTCAGTCGGAAACTGGAAATAGAATTTGAGTGTTGGATGAGAACTGTTTTGTGATCCCAGGTTATTCTGCCCTCCATTCAAAGCGAAAAAAAAAAAAAAAAAAAAAAAAAAAAGAAAAAAAAAAAAAGACTCTCTGCTATTTCTGCTTGTCTCTAGTAATCAAAATTATCTTCTCCCAGTGTTCACAGTCAAGAGCACCAGCAAGTCTCTGAAGAGAAGTTATGATCTGGAAAAGGACAGGTTGTTTTCCTTGAAGATGAAGGGAATTAAGTTAAACTGAAGCTTTCATTCCATTTTCCCCCTACTGTTCAAAATGGGTATGATATGTAATAGGACTAGGCAGTTACTAAAGAGCAACTTCAAACTGCAGTTAAAAAAATTACAGTGGGTATCAAGGCCAGCAATGTGTTGATGTAAAAGAAGTTATAGATGATGTTTAACAAAAAATGAACATTGCTTTCCTTTCCATTCTATCTTAAGCTCATTAACTATAAAACCAAGCAAGTTCTCTAAGCAGGTACCAGACCACAAGAGTGAGGGAATTGATTTTACAAACAAATGGTAACATGGGTAGAAGCAGCACACCTTTCCTCTAAAATACCCTTAGAAAAATAAGAAAAAATTAGTCTTGCTGATCAAAGAGTTTCTAACACTGAACCTCCTGCTAACTCACTTTGCATTGCTGCTCCATTAAGCAGCTTTCAAACAGTAATAATTATAAATAACTGTTTAGGCCAATGATCTAAAGGTTAAAGTGTTCTCATGTAGTATGTACTCCTGCAACATTTTATCTCCAAGACAGTCCTTTTTGATTTATCAAATAGCATCTTTGGTATGGAATTTGCTCAGAGAATATAAACGTCACAAAATCATATTTATACACAAAATTGTAAGTTCCCACTTACACTTGTCTACCTGAAAATTTTGAAGCCAAGTAACTTCAAAGCTGTCCTTGGCTGATATTAAAATTCTGTTGAAATAGTTCATGAGCACTGTGAATTTCAATAACAGATGCAAAGCTCACTTTGCCATACGGGCCTCCCCAAAGTGAGAGACTTAACAATTTCATCTGGCAAGGTTTATTGCATTTGAAACCACTCAACAAGCTGAATTTTCTTAGCATGAGAGATAAAATGAGCTAAGGGTATGGAATTTAGATATTCTCTTTGGAAATAATGGGTTCTGCATTTTATTCATATATGCATATATATATATTCCAACTTGTAAGCGTATAGGAATACAAAACCATATAATCTGGTGCACCTTCTTTCTTTTTAATCTTTCTATGTATCCCCATAAGAATAATTTAAAAATTTTAGATTTTGTATGATTGGTACACTAGATAGATTTATTATTTCATAAACATTGTTTGCTTATGGTGTGAGATGGAATCCAAGTCCAAGACAGCTTAAAAGAAACATGATGCTTTTTTTTTTTTAATTTATTTCATATAATAAAATATTTTGTATAAATAATAGAAGTAAAAATATGTTTGTTTTGCCTTTGAATGTGTCCATCTATGTGCTCAGCATGATTTACTGGACTGGTTTTACTTAGTTCTTACCTAGAGCTTCTAGGTTGTCACGGTCTCAAGCATGATTCAGGCAGGCATTTCATATTCACATAGACAAATACAAGTCTATGGGACCGGATGGGATACACCCGAGGGTGCTGAAGGAGCTGGCTGGGGTGCTTGCCAAGCTACTTTCCATCACTTCCCAGCAGTCCTGGCTCACTGAGGAGGTCTCAACAGATTGGAAATCAGCCAATGTGATGCCCATATATATAAGAAGGGTCAGAAGGATGATCTGGGAAATTGCAGGCCTCTCAGCTTGATGTCGATACCCAGGAAGCTGATGGAGCAGCTCTTCCTGAGCACCATCACACAACACATGTGGGACAACCAGATGCTCAGGCCCAGTCAGCATGGGTTTATGAAAGGCAGGTCCTGCCTGACAAACCTGATTTTGTTCTGCAACAGGGCGACCTGTTTATTCGATGAGGGAAAAGCTGTGGATGTTGTTTAGCTTGACTTTAGCAAGGTCTTTGCCATCTTTTTCCACAGCATTCTCCTGGAGAAACTGGCTGCTCGCGGCTTGGATGGGCACACGCTTTGCTGGGTAAAAAACTGTCTGGATGGCCGGGCCCAAAGAGTTGTGGTGAACGGAGTTAAATCCAGTTGGCGGCCGGTCACGAGTGGTGACCCCAGGGCTCGGGAACTGGGGGTGTTTAGTCTGGAGAAGAGGAGGCTGAGGGGAGACCTCATCACCCTCTACAGCTCCCTGAAAGGAGGGTGCAGAGACCTGGGGATGAGTCTCTTTAACCAAGTGACAAGTCATAGGACAAGAGGGAATGGCCTCAAGTTGCGCCAGGGAAAGTTTAGACTAGATGTCAGGAAACATTTCTTTCCAGAATGGGTTGTTAGGCGTTGGAATGGGCTGCCCAGGGCAGTGGTGGAGTCCCCATCCCTGGAGGTGTTTAAGAGTCGGGTCAACTTAGCACTGAGGGATATGGTATATTTGAGAACGGTCACTGTGTGGTTAATGGTTGGACTGGATGATCTTCAACGTCTTTTCCAAGCTAGATGATTCTGTGATTCTGCGATTCAGACTTAAGGTATGGATATAAGACTCAGGTTGAGCTGAGGACTTCTATACTTCAGCACAGAGGCTGATGGTAATTTTTCTTTCACTTGTCTGCCTTCCTCTTCATAGTCACTTTGGAAGCTGGTCGTCATTACAGATACCTGCACAAATCTTCTTGTTACAAATAATACAAAGTTATACTTCAATTTCAGTAAAAACAGAAGAATAAATATTACATAGTCAATAAAGCATTCAGTAGAAACATTGCAGATCTTTTCTAAGAACATTTTTCAACACAGCAAGATTTTTTTCCTTTCATTTATTTTTAACATTTTAATTAAAAAGTGTCCTAAAGTAATCTGAGATTTTATCACAGGATGAGTGAAAAACAAAAACTTTCCCTTGAGTTCAGGTAAAAAGGTCACTTTATATTGTACTGGAAGAACACTATAACTTTTGAGGAATTATTTAAAGATAGCAAAATACCTGAGCACAGATACAAGTACATGTGGCTCTGAAAAGGACAGATTTGTATTAGAAATTTACATGTGGGTTAGAAAGTGTTACAGAACTTAATTTCATATTGTAGAGTATGTCATAGTCCGTATGTAGTTCTTCTGAAGTTTACATCTCCCATGGCCTGAGTCAGGGTCATACAAAAAGACTAATAAACCTATAGTTAGCAAGGGCCAAATTAAGGCTAGCGAGTCAACACCTTTTGAATCTGGATATATTTGCTGTTGACTACTGTTATGAATAAGTAAGCATGGGCTCTGCCTCTAGAACTTTTTCAAAGCATCAGCTAGCTACAGAACTGATGTTCATTCTGGAGAGGTTGCTGGATCATGGCAGCCACATGTGCTTATACTGGGAGATGGCACAGATGACAGGAAACAGAACTATTTTCCCAATAGCCCCTAGATGTCCAAGGTACGCACAGAGTCCACATTTCACACTTCCTATCAGCATTGCTTTAATCTTGATTATTTGTTTGTGTTTTTTTTTTTTTTTTTTCAACAACTTGTTTGTTTGTTTGTTTCTGGGTACTGGATATTTAAGGAATACAATTATTTATTATTTATCGTAGAAGAAGTTTGAGGCCCAGGCTTTCTGTCTCTTCCAGGGAGTTTCTGATGGTTTGAATGGGGAGGGTTATTCTTGTGAATCACTGTAGTTTCTAGCAAAAGCTACAAATCGTAGGTGGGCATTCCTTCATAAACAGAAAGTAGTCAGAAGTAATCCACAGATACATCTTTCTCTCCAGAGTGCTGTTCATGGGAAGTAATTTTACTATAAGGTGTAATTTCAGACATCCCCTGCTATTTCAAACATTGTGTACCATTGCAAGATATCATTTTAACTATAAAAAGAAATATTACCTTATGGTTATGTTGGTTTTAGATCAGGCTGTCTCTTGAGAGTTATCTGAGTGAGAGCTTTATTTTTCTTCCTAATTCATTGAGGAGTTTGGGGGATTTTTTTTCTATCAGAAGGCTGGCAGTTCATAAAGAATGATAAGAAACATTAGTCCAAAGTGGGAATGAAAAGGTTCTTCAGGAATGAAGAGACATTATATGAATTACCAGAAGCCAAGTAACTGACACCCCATAGATTTCATTCTAGGGCTTGTTTTATTTTTTCAAGATATTTCACACTAAGTATTTCCCATTAAAACCATGATAACTGAATCAATGTAAGATCTGATGCTTTGTATGAATTAAAAAGGCTATTTCCATTAAAGTTACATCCAAAATTTGTACAACAGTCTGTTTTCTTTTACTCAGAAAGAAAATAGTAGTGGAGGACACCCAAGGAAGCAGTGGTGTGAAAACATTTTTAAAATTCATGGTCAGAACTTTTCAACAATTTTTTTTTTCTTTTCTTCCACACCCCCTTTTTATTTTATGAGCACAAGATTTTTCATGAGAGCAGTACTGCTGTGAAAAAGACCATGTTCCTTCATTGTTTCTAGGTTGTGGTTGTTTGTTTGGGTTTTTTTCTGGGTTTAGTATCTTTTCTGCTTTATGCTTTTCTTCAAAAATGTATTCATTATCTCCTTCTCCGCCACCTCTAACCTAACAGGGACCAGAAAAAGGAAAAGATGAGCAAAAGCATATTGAGAAGCATGGGGAGGTCACTTTTTGCAAAGATGAATAAAAACAGCTGAGGAAATCTTTGTTTACAGAATACCGCTGGCTCTACTGATGTTATATTTCATTAATTTTTTTATACTACCAAATGAAATCAATAAATTATTTGGGTACACTTTGGATTTCTGTTTTGTACGTTTGTTTCCAAAGATTATTCTGTGACATGGAGAAATGATGTTGCATACAATTAAATCAAGTTTCTCTCTGCAGGCATCACCACAGTATTGACCATGACAACTTTGAGTACCATTGCAAGAAAGTCATTACCCCGTGTCTCCTATGTCACTGCTATGGATTTGTTTGTGACTGTATGCTTTCTATTTGTCTTTGCTGCTCTGATGGAGTATGCAACCCTCAACTACTACTCAAGTTGCAGGAAACCAAACTGTACTAAGAAGAAAAAGTCGGTAAGATGGGATCATTTAAATTTCTTTTCTAGCATGTTCATGGTTCAGAGAGCAGAGAATCATCCAATGACAGCCTGTAATCCCATGATACTCTGCTCTTCTGAGTATGTGGTGTGATCTGCCCTGAAAGTTGATGGAAAATAGTTATGTGCCTGTTGAGTGAGGTCTGTTCCTAACAGAAGCAGTCTACTTACCATGAGGCAGCAAAGCTTGCTTCTGCATCTTTTGTCCTCCTCTTACTGTGCTGGTAGTCAAAAAGAGGTCCCACTGAAACAGACTGAATAGCTTGTTATACAAATATATGCACATCAATATATATTGAAATGCATCTGCTACTTCATGGATTAACAGGTCTAGAAATATTTATGAACTTTACAGACGGGATTTCAATGTCTCCACTGGGAACCAGCACTTGTTTTTAGCCCGATGAACAAAGGGCCTTGTTCCTAAAAATGGAGGAGGTGACTTACAAAGGTTTTATACATGGCTTCATTTTTAGCCAAAAAGACACTTCCAAGACTAAAACACACACACACACACACACACACACATGCTGTTGATTTAGCATCAATTAAAACAAACATGCAGGAAGAATTCCCTGGTGTACTTCATAACTGACTACAAAAATAAAAGGGGGCAGTACAATGGAGAAAAAAATCTCAGTGTAAACATAGGGAAGGGGAAGTGGGTTGTCCATTCAAGATTAGTGGAAAATCTTATGTTTGAGATCAGTAATTGGAGTTGTTGGATGCCATTTTGCATAATGGAGGAAATAAGGACATTTGAAATCAGAAATATAAAGCCAAATAGGAAAAATGTGAAGGAGGAAATTGAAGAGAGAGAAGGCTAAATTCAGTGAATAATAGGTCACAAGATAAAAAGGGATTGAATTAAGAGCTATAGAAAATTATTGAATTAAGAACTAATGAAGGAAAAGCTGAAACTAATATGAAATTAGAGAAAGCCTAGAAGACTATAGACTTAATGAAAACTCCATTAAACCTCTAATAGCTTCTTTTAAAAATGCATTGCACACAAAAGGCAAAAGTATGAGACAATCAACATGAAGTTGTTAATGATCAAACTAAAATTGCTATCAAAGACTGACTAAAAAAGTCATGAGTATCTTTGTGTGTAGGATGTATCTCCAGACATAGGAAAGCATGTAATATTGATGAGATTTAAATTAACATAATAACAAATGCTCACTTAGCTATTGTTTGTTAAATAAATAAAGGTAGTGTAGAATAAAGATTTAAAGTAGATGGAAACTAGATGAGCATTCTGCTGAGGTTTCATGCAGTTTTAAAGTGTCCAGAGTATCATGCTGAATATGTAGAATACTCAGCATGAAGTGTTTTATGGACAAACATATTTAAAGGCTTGGTTTAAGGAATGCTATTGAACATTAGATGCATATGAAGCAATAAATATGTTTTTCTCTGAATAATTCTTTTTTAATCTTTATTTAAGCTACCTGATGTCAGTTTTGGTCATGTGATGGTAAGTAAACTATTTTATTCAGTGAGAGCAATGGACGCATGAATGTATGGTTGATATTTACTTGCAATAATTCCCAAGAAAGCCGTAACTCTATGTTCTGCTTTACCCTGACTTCACTATTATAAATATTGTTTTCCTTTTTTGTTAAAAGGTCAGGGGTTTTTGGCTGTGGCAGAGGAACATAGCTGCCTCTTTCTATAAGGACTTATCAAATTATTTGAGAGGGAGAAGGGTCAAGTGCAGAATATTGTGTGTTATTTTTAACTCAGAAATCTTGTGTCTGCTTTATAGAATATTGCAATATCTCATTACATTTTATAAAAAAGTAATAAGCATAAGTTAAGTCATAAACTTATATGGAATTTTAACTGTGTTTCATAGAAAATATTTCATGTATGCATATCCATAAAATCTATAGAAAGCTTTTAGGTGGATTTTTAAATAATTTAGGCATACAAGTTTGACAGTTAGTTTTACTATATCCACAAATGAAATAAATTCTATTCCCCAAACCTCTAGATAACAATTTAGATAGATGATAGATAGATAGATAGATAGATAGATAGATAGATAGATAGATAGATAGATAGATAGATAGAATAAAATTGAAACTCAGCACAAAATTGGGTCTCTAAGTTGTATGAAATCTGAAACTGTAATGCATACTACACTATATACAAGCATACAGAGGGCAAGTAAATCAAGGGGCTGGATGGGTTTCTTCCCGGCTATCAGATCCAGATAAGAACAGGGACAGAACTAAAACATTGCTTTTGCATTTCTTGGTTTGGATATACTGGTGTAGCCTTTACAATAGCTAGCTCCATGTTACTAGCTTATCTTTTACAAACAATGTTGCACACTTTTTTTTTTTTTTTTAACATTACTTTTCTGATGTGTTTAAAGAGGTCATATAGCATTGTCTGTTCATTGTCAATAAATAGTTTACAGAAAGCCTTTCATTTATATACTTGCTACTGCTGTCACTCCTTGGACAGACTTTTTTGAAAGATTAAGTTAATAAGGCACATTGAATGGGTAGCAGCACTTTTCTTTTTCCAGTTAAAATATAAAGGTAAAAGACACACAATTAAAATGACAATAGGGTTAAACACTTAGTCATCTATAATATTGTCAGCTTTTTCATTTTTTTAATTCCTTTCCTTTCCTTTCCTTGCCTTGCCTTGCCTTGCCTTGCCTTGCCTTGCCTTGCCTTGCCTTGCCTTGCCTTGCCTTGCCTTGCCCTGCCTTGCCT